AAGTGCCGGCGTAAGTGGTGTCAATAAGTAGCTTCAGTGTGAGCACGATAGGTTGCGGTTTGCCGGCACGGTTCCACGCATCAGGCCCAATGACAGCTGTCATGTAACAGTTGCGGAGCGATATAGTGTCCGTTGGCATCTTAATCTTAGGACGAAAGAAGAGAGGGAGAGCAAGGGCAGTAGAAAGGGTCAGCAAAGATTTTGAAGACGATTTTGAAGACGATTTTGAAGAATTATTAAAGATTATTAAGGTCTACATTAGCCTATAATAGTTAGCCGTAGATCTCACGGGCCATTTGATAGGCTTCTTAACAAGCGATGAGAGGGTGTTAGAAGTAGATTGGATAGCTGTGTGTTTATTACTTGCATCGCGACTACTTTGACTTTTTTCTGACTTTTTTGGCCAAGGCCACACCCCAGTTATACAACTACGCTAACTGTTATACAGGGGCTCCTATTGGTCAAACGTCTTCAAAATGATCTTCATATGCGTTTTGAAGACTTTAAAATGCACATGAAGCTGCAGCCAAGCATGTAATTAGTGTGAGGCATAAAGATTACTTAATATGGCTACGGTGGAGTTGAAAACTAGCCTTATGTAGTTAAAATATCGTCTTCAAAATCTTTGCTGACCCTATCCAGTAGAAATGTAGAGAATCAACGCCTTTAAAGTATGGAAGCTCTAAGTTCTGATTCTTAGAAGGCAGAATGTGCACCTTCTTTTTTCTCAGTGTTAGAGCAAACTCGCATGGTCTTCTAATCAATTATAGATAGTATCTTAGTAGGGAAAAGGTTTCAATTGATTGAGGTACGGTAAAGACTTTGCACCTTGCCAAAAGCCATACGTCAGCGCATCACTATTCTATGTAAGGTAGTCGTGCTGTCCAGAAGTGAGTTATCTCGCTTAATAGCGCCGGGAGAGTTGACCAATCAAACTACGATTTTCGCGGAGAACTGAGTAGTTTGATTAGTTAACTCTTCCGGCGCTATTAAGCGAGATAGCTCACTTCTAAATAGTACGAGTAGTCTCAGTACTCTATTTAGAAGGGTTGATGATAGTGATAGGTCGGAAAAACCGTTTTTCCGAGCCGAAATTTCGTAACCCTAGAGTCTGAGTAGGAAACTATAGTCTTAGAAAGGCCTTACGCAGTGGGTCTGAGTAGGAAACCCTGTCAAGCCTCATTTTTTTGGTGGTTTGACTGATATAAGATATTTATCCCTGCGTATATATGAGATAGTAAGGCCTCTTTTAATGAAACTGCGTAGCAGCTATATAATTACGAGGTCTAGGTGCGTAGTTAATAGAATAGATAGATTAATTACTAGATAAATTAATAATTAAAGAAAAAAGAAGAAGAAAGAAAACTTATAAGTATTTAAGACTTCGCTAAATATATTAAATACTTATTTTAATTATATAATTTATAATCTAATAAGCGATATAAGCGAGTCTATTAATTTATTTCGAGTACTTTTATTTTTATAATTATATCTTTCTTTAAAAGATATAATCTTTAAATTTTATTATTATTATATTTTATAATTAAATACTATAGACTTATTAATCTCTTATATATTATCTATTACTAGTTTAAATATAATTTAAATTAATATATACTATAATAGCGTATTTAAATTATTTACTCTAAGATCTCTTTAAATATATTAATATATTTATATATTAAATTATAATAATATCGCTAAATATATTATTATCTTAATTAATAAAATATAAATATATTATTACTCTATTACGATATACTATTATTACTATTATTATATACTATTATTATTATTATTACTTTAATAATTATAATAATTCTATTATTATAATTATAAAAGTCGCGTTAATAAGTATAAAAGTCTTACTTTTAATCTAACTTTTATTCTTTTTAATAATAATATTAATACTAATATAAGTAAATACTTAATTCTTCTTTATATCTATTATCTTATCTTTATTTATTTTTATTATAATATCGCGATAGCGAGCTATATATTATTATAATAATATAATATATATATCGATTAAGATAATAGTTAAGTAAGATTAAAGTTATTTAAATTAATTTTATATATAATAAATATTTTAAAGAATACTTTATAATACTTTCTAGATAGTATAAGAAGTATATTAATATATTAATAATAATAAATAATCTTTACTCTTATAGCTTTATAGACTATTAAGTTTTTATAACTATTATAATTCTTATTATATCTACTATAGCTAATAAATATTTATATTTATTTTAAATATATATTTAATTAAAAAGGCTTAATAGCTTCTTTTATTGCTATTTCTATTCTTATTTATAAGTAAAAGAGATATTAGATAACTAAGAGATTACGCTAATATATATTAAGATCTCTTTTACTTTTATTATATATATATATTTATATATAATTCTTATATAATTTATATCGCGTTTTCTACTAGCTCGCGCTAGCGTAAATATAAGTAATGCTCTTACGAGGGTTACGTATGTTATCTAGACCCGACTTCTTTTCTTATTATACGTGGCGCTTCGGCGCTTTAGAATAGACCTGCGAGCTTTTTAGTCGTATTCGCTAAACTTTTTAATTATAATTTTATTCGCCTACTTAAACTCTTTACTATTATTATTTTCTTAATCTATTTTACTTCTTAATTTCTCTTAATAATTATACTTTTAACTTTAGCTTAAATATTAATTTATATAATTTCTTTACTCACTCGAAATTCTTAATTATATTTTTAATATTTTCGAGATACTTTATTAATTTCTATAAAGCTTTATAAGATAAAGAGTTTTTTTAATTAATAAGATACTTAATTTCGCTTTTATAAACTCTTTTATCTAATATCTTATTAATCTCTTACTTTTCTTCTTTATTAATTAAGATTATTTATAATTTTAAATTATTATTATATAAATATTATAGTTCTAATAATAATATATAAAATATAAAATAAATTCTTCTATATCTAGTAGAAAGATTTAACTTATAAACTTATATAGTTATTCTCTCTAGTACTTTAAAAGATCTAAATTATTTATAATTTAGTTTCTTCTTTAATTATAAGATATATATATTTAAACTTTATAATAATATTTTATTCTTTTTTTTAAAGATTATAATTTTATAATTACTATTATAATACTTTATTTACTACTTTAATACTCGCTTTTATAATTCTTTTAAATATAATCTTATTTTTTATAATTAATCTACTCGCTCTATAATAAATAATATTTCTCTTCTTAAGATCTTATTTTTAAAAGTATTTTCTAAATCTATTATATATTTTATTAATAGCTCTTATAAGATCTTATTAATACTTATATATATATTATTATTATATATAAATATCGCTATTAATAAGATTTTAGACTAATTATTTTATTTATAATTATAATATATTTATAAATAATATTTAAAAACTTAATTTTATCTTTTAATTTAATTATTAATTTAAAAATAAAATGTAATATTAATATAATATTATCTAAAATCTACTTATAAATAGAGAATCTTAATTTAAAATTAAATTACGTATTATATTATATAATAATATAAATTTCTATTATAAAATATTAGTAAGATTATTAATCTTTAAATTTATTAGAATCGATATAGATGTAATATTAATATAGATATATTAAATAAGATAACTAAGATATCGAATTATATAGATAGAAGAGAGATATTAAATAGTAGATAAATGCCTCTATTAAGACACGCTAGGCCCGAATAGATTAGAGGGCTAAATAATATATTAAGAATATAGAGTACGCTTATAATACTACCCTCTCTCTTTATAAAATTATATTTTATAATTAATAAGTAAAAAGATAGAAAAATAAATATATATATACGCTTAATAATTAAAAAAATAATAAAAGTAGTAAAGAAATAATTACATTCGAAAACCCTAATATTATACTTTTTTTTATAAGAGATATTAAAAATAATAGTAGCTCGTTATATTTACGCTATAGCGATATCGCTAATTAAGATATAAATATATATAAAGAGTCTAATTAAAAGAAAATCGATATAATATAATAAAAATGATATTCGTTAGCGTAGAGATAAATAGTAATAATTTTTAAATCTATATCTAAGCGAATAGAATATCGATAAAATAATACGATATAATTAATTAAGAGTTTTTAAATCAAATCGAGTTATAAACGCTAAAAACTCTAATTAAATATTAAATAAGTTTTTCTATAAAATATTATATAACTAATATTAATAAAGATTATTAATAATAACGATAAGGTTTATTAATAATATACTATAGCTTTAAAAGATACTTAAGTATCTATTAATAAGGAAACTCTACGCGAAAAGCCTTATATAATATAATTTATAATCGATCTAAGCCTAAAGAATTAATTCTTAACTTCTAAAAAATAAAGTTATTATAAAGATATCGAACGATTTTAATTCGATTAAAAATAAGAAATTTAAGATAATTTCGATATTTTATAAATTAATTCTTATAGATAAGACTCTTTAAGATATTATTTATAAAAGTCATCTATTAGATCTTAATAATTTTCGAATTTATCGCTATTTATATTATATTAAATAAGATTATTATTAAGACTTTTTTACTTAACTTTATACTTAAAACGACTATTAATTAACTTAAAGATAAATATTTCTTTAATAAACTTATTAAGGAATCATTATGATTTGACTCATATATGTGTGTGGTGTAAAAGATGTTGATTGTTCTATGTGCCTGCAGGGCAGATATGTGCGGTGCCAAGCCTACGCTAGTGGCCCTATGAGTATCCCTGAGGCATCTCATGACAATTGCCCACAAAAAACAGAGAAATGCCATGTCCTCATGGCAAGAAGTATGCATGCATGTGTGTTTTTCGAAAAACCGGAAAGGAATGGAGATGCCGGGCCAATTAGTAGTGTGAATCCCACAATATCTCCTGCCGCAGTGAAAGCTTTCGAATAATGAAATGGCTGTCGAAACAAGACATCGGACGGTTTCAATTCGTCCAAATATGCATCGTCCGATAGGTGACCCTTGCCTGCAGAGGTCCAATTGGCTGTGATCGACGCAGTAGATCCTTCTCTTGTGTGCTCATTGCAGTGATGTACCACAATGTGATATTGCCTAGGCACGCGGAGATAGCAGGCCAAATTGTAGTGTCGTCCTCCGCTTGCTGAGTGGCGATTTGACGGGGGATTGTGGAGAGGTGACGTGGGATCTTGGAGAGCTGAGCCGTGTTCTTGGTGCTGGGGGCCTTGCTGTCGCTTGGTTTCTCCGCAGTGTTCTCCGCAGTGTTCTCCGCATTTGCTTGCTGTAGTGACTTCTCTTGCACTGGCTGAGTGGATTGATGTGAGACCGTGGAGAGTAGACCTGTTGTGTCACTGCTGCTGCTGACTGTCTCCGCACTTTTCTCCGCAATATCCTCCTCTTGTGAAATACCAGACTGAGCGACTGAGTGAGTGGTTGGCTGAGTGGCTGGCTGAGTAGGCCTAGATCGAGCTTCCAATGCTTCCAGTCTTGTACTCATGACTCTCATCATTTCCATCATTTGTGTCATTTGTTCCTGAAGCGAGGCGAGTGGGGTAGGATGAGGCATGATGATATCGATAGGCCTATCGAAAGGATCGATTTGGACGGGGTTTTGTCAAAAGGTACTCGATGACGCGAGTGTATTGGAGGTCCGGCTTGGAGCGTTGCACTATTAGGTGTTTGATGCAGGCTTTGCGTAAACGTGTGGTGTAGACGTGGCTCGTAGAGACGTCTACTACATCATAGGATCAAGTGGAATTAGATCTTAAGGTGTTGCTACCAATTGTTAAGGAATCATTATGATTTGACTCATATATGGGTGTGTGGTGTAAAAGATGTTGATTGTTCTATGTGCCTGCAGGGCAGATATGTGCGGTGCCAAGCCTACGCTAGTGGCCCTATGAGTATCCCTGAGGCATCTCATGACAAATCTATTCGATTCGATTATTAATAATTATATACTTTAATAATAGATTTATCTATTCTAGTAAGAGGTTATTTATCGCGAGATTTAATAGATTAAAATAAAAGACGTTATAAATTTTTATATTTAGCGAAAGTTTTAGATAATATAAGATTTTTATAAAATTTATAATCTTAAATAAATTAAATCTCTTATAATTTAATTTACGAGAAGAATAATTAAAGATAATATTCTTACTATTTAAAAAAACCTTATTATCTATCTAAAAGATAATCTTTTATTAATACTTATTAATTTATATAATTATAATCTTCTAAACGCGATCTATATTACTTCTAATATATTTAAAAATCTATTTTATATAATTTATAATATTTTCTATCTTAGTAATATTAAGATATTTATAAATAATCTTATAATTGATAATATTTAAATTAAAACTTATTTAAAAATAAAATTTCTTATTTATAAGAAAAGATAGAATATTAATAATTATTAAAATAATATTATTATCGACGAACTTAATAATAAATAATTATTTTATTTAATTATTCTATATATAGTTATAATATATTTAAAAATAACGCTTTATATTTTAATTTATTTACTTAATTTATCTATTAATTTTAGAATAGAAAGCTATTAATAGTTTAACTATAATATCTAATTATTTATATTAAGATTTTTATATAATAATTATAAATTAAGAATCTCGATTCGATATTATTAAGGCTAATAGATTATATAAGTAAAATACTTCTTTAAATAATAAGTTAATAGTTTTCTTAGTAATAATATTTTTATTAATATCGAAATAGATTATATAATAATATTTCTTAATAAATTAATTAATCGCTATTTAAATAATATTATAGTTATTAAATATAAATAAATCTATAATAAAGTTAACTAATATATCTTATTATTATTTTTATAGAATTAATAGAGATTAAAGTAAACTATATTCTTAATTTCGAGATATTTTAGCCCTCTAATAGATATAGTAATTTTAAATATAAATAACTACTATTATTCTTATTTCTCGCTAATAATATTCTCTTTTAAATAATTTATAGATATATACTACTTCGAAATAGTCGTAGAATAATTAATTATATATCTCTTAAATAATATTAATATATATATTATTAAATATTTATAAACGATCTTTATAATAAAGTATCTCGTTTTATACGAAGTACTTATTAAGAGTAATCTCTTAAAACTTATTCTTACCTTTAGTAATAGCGTTACGAATTTTCATATAATAGTTATTCTCCTTATTAGCCTCTATTATCTTATAATAAATCGAATTATTAATTATATATATATCGATACTTTCGCTATCTAACTTTAATTAATTAGAGATAAAAATTATTTAATACTATTAGCGTAATTATTTATTCTTAAAATTAATTAATTTATATTTAATTATTTATATAAATATATTCATCTTAATATTCTAAGATCTAAATTAATAAATAATCTTTATATTAAATTCGAATAATATATTTAAATAGCGAGTTTAGCGATAACTAAGATCTTTTTCTTTAATAAAATATATTAAGCTTTTATAATTCGTAAAGATCTTAATAGAGATATTAATATATTTTAGTTTAAAATGTTAATATTTAAAATAGCGAATAATAATTAATAATTTCTTATTATAGATCTAATAATTATATTTAGCTAAAGTAAGATTTTTACTATAGAAAACTATCGAGTAAAATACTCTCTTATTATTATATTAAGAAAGAATATCTTTATTAATATAATTAAAAGAGTTAATCTCTAAAATAGCGTTCTTTATTTTATTAAAATAATATAGAATTAAAACTTTAATAACGACGACTTTTAGAAAATAAAAGGTCTTTTAATATACTGGGGATTAATTAAATATAGTCTCTTTTATAATAAGTTTTATTATAAATTTAACTATTTTAGAGAAGTCTCTAATAAAACGTCGATAAAAATTATAAAATCTAATAAAGATCTATATCTTTTTAAGATTAATAGATATAGTTTATTTAATAATAGTCTAAATTTTAATAGAATTATTTATAACTCGTCTATAGATATTAATAAATCTAAAAATTTAGTTTTCTAAATATAAAATTCGTATTTAAGAATATTTATCTAAAGGTTAATATTCTTCAATTTCTAAAGAATTTATCTAACGTATTAGATATATTTCTTTTTTATCTTATTATAAATAAATGTATTATTAAGATAAATCTAATAGAAGTTATTTAAATATTCGAATAGAATATTATTTATATATTATTAATATATAGTTAAATCGTTAATTAGATTAAAGAAGAGAACTTAATATTTATATACTTTAAGAAAGATAATAAAAGTAGTAAAATTCTCGCTATTAAGATATATATATAGTTTATTAAATATAACTATAATATCTAATCGAGTAAGATATTTATATTTCTAAATTTTTACTAAAATCTTATCTATTAATAAAATTAGATATCGATTTCTTTTAATAATAGCGTTTAGCTTTTAATAGTTTATATAAAAATATAATTCTCTATTTAGCTTTTTCGCGAATAAAATAAATAAGGAGATTTTTTCCGACGCTCTTTACTTTAGATTTCACCCACCGTTCATCTAAGTAATATTATAAACGAGGTTATTTTCTAAAAATAAGGCTGTAGAAAGACGCTGTTAATTAATATATTAGAAAACTACGCAGTTTATATATTATAATAAAGCGCTCGCTATATTATAGCTAATTAGAAATAAAACGTTTAATTCTATTAAGTAAATCTATAATAGGCGTAGTAAGACGAAAGTAGATATATTAATACGTAATTTAATAGAACTAAATCTCGCTAACTAAATATCGAAGGATTTAGAGTTTATATCTAGATAAAGATTAGACTATATATTACTCTATCTAAATATTCTTAATAGCATTATCATATATCTCTCTACTCTATCTATCGTCTTATCTACTTAATCAATAACGCCTTAACCCCTTATATCGAAGCGAGTTAATATAAATTAAGCTTTATTCTTTAAGATATCTTATAAAGACTTAATCTTAGCCTTTCTCTAATTAGTTAAATTCTTTTAGTATACTATTAAAGAACTATTTATATCGATTAACTAGCGTAATAATATAAGAATATAATTTTCTTTTCTATTCTATGCTAGACTTAGCTATATATATATAGATGATATAAGATAATTTAATCTACTTTAACTTCATAGTTTATTTTAAATAAGGCCTTAAGCTTATTCGATAGAACTTTGCGATCGATATACCTCATTTCAAGAGTCTACTTCATTATTACGAGTTCCTATATCTTAAATAATAGAAACTTAAAAATAATAGATATTTATAAGATATACTAATTAAGCTATCTAGATAATAGGCTTTAATATCTTTATTATGAAAGTAAGAACTAGGCGTAGTCTAACGGTTTATACGCAATATAAGATAAATAAGACATCTAAGATAGACAAATAAGGAGGCAAATAAGGCGTCTAGATATATAGGCATAAGGATTATGCAGGAGTAGAATTAAGTGTTAAGGCTACGTATTTCAACAGACACGCTAGAACTATTATAAAGCCTCGTTGTTAAGGAATCATTATGGTTTGACTCATATATGTGTGTGTTGTAAAAGATGTTGATTATCTATGTGGTCTGCAGGCAGATATGTGCGGTGCCAAGCCTACGCTAGTGGCCCTATGAGTATCCCTGAGGCATCTCATGACAATTGCCCACAAAAAACAGAGAAATGCCATGTCCTCATGGCAAGAAGTATGCATGCATGACTTTTCGAATGTCAGAAAGGAGTGGAGATGCCGGGCCAATTAGTAGTGTGCATCCCATGAGTTCTCCTGCCGCAGTGAAAGCTTTTCGAATAGTACCGGAGCAAGACATCAGACGGTTTCAATTCGTCCAGATATGCATCGTCCGAACTCCGTCCTGAAGAGATCCAATTGGCTGTGATCGTCGCAGTAGATCCTCCTCTTGTGACGTCATTCCAGTGATATACCATATCAATGTGATATTGTTGAGGCACGCAGAGATACCAGGCCAAATTGTAGTGTCGTTCTCCGCCTGCTGAGTGGTGATTTGACGTGGAACCGTGGAGAGCATATGACGTGGGATTGTGGAGAGCTGAGCCGTGTTCTTGCTGATGGTGGCCTTATTGTCGCTTGATTTCTCCGCAGTGTTCTCCGCATTTGCCTGCTGCAATGGTTCCTCCTCTTGCTGAGTGACGGCTTGTAGAGACCTTCTCGTATATTGCTGGCGAGTCTTCTGATTCCGGTGCTTCTTCTTCTGCTGTGTTGCACGTACAAATGGACACTCCGGTAATCGAGTAGCGTGGAAATCGAATAGAGTAGGAGTACCGTCACTGTCCCAGTCACAAGGATCAAGGCCGCATAGTGAGCATACAGTGAGATCAGGGGACGGAAAAGTAGGGTCGTATTCTCGGCGAAAGCCAGCACGGGCTACGGTAGAGGCACTTGGACACACATGTGGCCATGACGTGAATGAGGCGAGTCTCTCAGCGTATGAATTCATGATATCGATATCGATAGGCCTAGCGAAAGGATCGATGTGGACGTTGTCAAATGGTACTCGATGACTGCGAGTGTATGTGAGGGCCGGCTTGGAGCGTCACACTATTAGGTGTTGATGTGGGCTTTGCGTAAACGTGTGGTGTAGACGTGGCTCGTAGAGACGTCTACTACATCGTAGGATCAAGTGGAATTAGATCTTAAGGTGTTGCTACCAATTGTTAAGGAATCATTATGGTTTGACTCATATATGTGTGTGTTGTAAAAGATGTTGATTATCTATGTGGTCTGCAGGCAGATATGTGCGGTGCCAAGCCTACGCTAGTGGCCCTATGAGTATCCCTGAGGCATCTCATAACACTCGTCTTTTTAACGAGATTACTCGAAGTAGTTGATTTAATAAATACTTAACGCAAAGGATAATTACTATAAAATTCTTATTATCTAGAAAAGAAGGATTACCGCGCCGTATTAAGACTATACTACTTTCACTATAATCGTATTAAAGAGAATATTCGTTATCTTACCGACTATAGCATTTTAAAGTTCTTACTTTTCTTTTACACACCCGTTATTATACTTTTATTAAGCTTCCTCTCTTAGAATATACTTCTAAAATTTATAATTACTGCTTTATTCATATATAAGAGATATATTTAGAATACTACTTTATAAGAATTACTCTATTATACTAGATTAACTAAATTACCCCTTTTAAGAAGAATATTAATATTTATCTAGTAAAAGTAGAATATATTATCGTAAACGTCTCCTTAAAGACTCGACGAGGATTTTTAAATCTAAGAAAAACGATTTCGACTTGCTTCGTATATCTCTTAACTATTTTAATAAGTTAAATCTCGATATAACTTATCTACTCTTTGAAATATAATCTCTCATATTCTATATAATAATTAGATTATACTTAAAGCTCTCAGATTTCGAGAATAAGTCTTTTATTATTAAATTCGAGCCTTAAAGTATTAAAAGTATTAAAGATTTAAATAATCATCTACTTATAAGTTATAAATTATTATATTTACGAAGTTTTATTCCTAATAATTTATAGAAAAAAGAAAGTCTATTTTCGCATTTATTATAGTGAGTTTAAATATTTTAAGAAATATCTTATAAGAAATACTTCGAATTTATACTGCAATAATATAATTTCCTAGAAATACTTTTAAGAACAATTATTCATTACGCAGGAAGCATATTAGAAGATATTATTATAATATTATATCTTCATCTTCTTTCTAGATATAATTCATTCTTTCGACTTTAAAAAGAGCGTAAATAATAATATTCTGAGACGTTAATCGTATTATAGCTATTTCTTAACGAGGTTAAATTCGAGACAGCCCTATCTTTATAATATTAGCGTATTCTCTCAGCTATCTTATTCTCGTCTAATTTCTATCTCAGAACTATATTATATTATTTAATACGTGAAAAAAAATAAAAGAGATTAAGGCGACTCTTAATCTCTAAGATAAACTAAGGTATATAAACAAATAGATATTAAAACGGAAAATCCGTCTAGATTATCTTATAACCGTTTTTCTTTACTCGACAATGCTTAGAACAGGGGCTTCAAACCCTCGACCAAGACACGTATGGCCGAAATACGAGCGATCTAATACTTCTTCACTTAATCTTTCTATTAGTAACAGCGGATAATTAAGTTAAATATATCAAGTATCTTCATTCATAAGTAGACGAAATAGTAAGTTAAATCTATTATTTACAAATAAACTAAAATAGATTAAATATATCTAGTGAGTCAGCTTTTGCTGAGTTCATGTTCAAAAAGGCTGAAAAGGCATGGTTTTCGAAGCTCGAGGTTGGAGGGGAGTTTACGAGAAGAACGTTAATAGACTTTGCTATGATATTCTCAGATATCTAGAAACTACAATAATTTCAGCAGAAGCTACTTCGAATATTTATAATATTAAATTCGTATCTTAAAGTAGTAAGTTATCTTAAGAGTTATTATTAGAGACTTATCGCGATAAGCGATATCAAATATCCAAGCGGCCTTGTTCTTAAGGCGATCAAGAACTATATAATAGATATTAAGATTTACGAATAGAGTCTAGCTATAATTAAGTAATTATTAAAAGAAACAGAGAGACTAGTCAGTCGGACGATTTTCATACCTTCTCTTCCGAAAAAAGTATCATAGTTGGCTAACAGCTCTTCCTTCCCTGCGATAATTAAATAAAATACTTACTTTTCATAATAAAGTAACCCTTTAATTAATAAATTAAACGATCTATAAAAGTATTAATCTCGTATGTAGCATAGCCGGGGACATCCAACGCGAGAACAGCGAGGTAACGATCTTGGCTCGGCAGACGCAACGCGACTCGAGAATGCTCAAGGCGATGACGACGATAGCACTTTTTTTCCTTCCTGCTTCTCTGCTTGCGGTGAGTTTTCCCTCTATCTAATTTAATCGTTTATATTAGATTCTAATTTCTTCTTTCCTACTAATAGCCTTAAAGATAATAATAATAATAGACAATCTTCAACTCTAATCTCATTTCATTGGAGCAAAATCAAAGCATAATGCTAAGTAAGACTTATTATATAATTACTATATAGTTTTAAATATATATTATAACGTCTATAGACTTAACGATCTTTACATTTATTAATATATATTAACTAGACTAACGATGAAGTTAGACTAAAAGATAATAAATTTATATATATAAGATATAATTTAATAAATTAGCGAATATATTATATACTTCTATTCTTATTCTATCTAATTAAGGTTTAAAAGTCTAATATTTATAATATAAAAGCTTAGCTAGGAAAGCCATTGCTCCACCTGTAAGTATGATAGCTTATGACTTATGTATACTGAGCGTACTGGCGACCTAGTAGCTACGTACATGAAATGAATACGCGGTAACTATATATAGACCAGATTTGCGATGGCTATCTAGGTAGGATAGAGATCGCGTATACACATATTTATGAGGAGTTTAAAATTCTCGCAAGATTTCCTTCCTTGCACGATATTCTAAGTCTTCAGGATAGTGAATAGATGCAGATCCGCTGTTTATGCAGAGTAGCAACTAGTGACCCGAGACACTAAGCCTTGACGGGATTAGGCGAATTCGCCGCTCTGCTTCGATACGTGTTAGCCTAGGTGTCTCAGGCAGCAATATCACTCGGTTGAAAACAGCCGCACACCTTTGCACTTTACATCTTCCCTCTGAAACTGGATCCAAATAGACTCTCGGTATTCTTTATATTTTGAGGAAAGGAATTAGACCAAAGTCTGATGCATCAATCAAGTCTCCGATATGTCAACAATCTCCGACAGCGATGGTGGGTTTCCAGCTCCGATCACCTATACAAGGTCTGGAGAAACTTATCAAAGCGCGAGCTCGACTTCAAACAAAGAATTTGACTTCCTCGATTTCCTCGGGGTCGCCCAAAGTCTGAAGATTGACTTTCTTCCGATTACATGGCAGCCAGCACTGGATAAAGTCGGCGAAGGTGGTACCGCTGAGATACGTCAAGCATTGATCAATATTCAGATGACTTTTACGTTCAAACACCTGAAGCGTCCTCGGTCTGCTATGGAAAAGACTCGTAATTTACATATACTTATTACGGAAATATCAATATTAGATCATTCCATCATCCGATACCATCTAAACGTTATAAACCTCGAGGGAATCTACTAGAACGTTATTCTTAGTAATAAAAAAGTTTAGTCAATTCTAATATTTAAGAAAACTCGATATGAGAATCTAAACAGATTTATGATATCAGGCCCAGGAAAAGAGCTGGATTCCAAGCACAGACTTAAGATGTTATTTAATATTACTCTCGCGATTAGAGATTTACATATAACTAATAGATACTTAAAACCCCTTTTTAACGACATAACTAATTAAAAATAGAGATCATTCACAATAACATCAAGCCTGAGAATATTCTGATTTCCTCTGAGAACGATGGCCGCTATATAATGAAAGTAACGAATTTCGGCTACTCTACTCTATTTACAACAGATAGCGACCCAATTACAATGCCTTATTCGGAGCTCTAGACGACTCCAGAACGACATCATCAAGAGATCCTACCGAGATAAGCTAGAAAGATAAACGCATACTCTTTTAGCATACTTTACCTCTAGCTTCTTTTTTACAACAAAGGGACAAATCGAGATCGCAACTTCAAGAAAGATTTAAGAGATTCACAGAAGAAACTATTAGATTACGCTTTTCAATTACTTAAAGCATCAGCGAACCTAGAAAACTAAAAAAAAGACAATATGCAAAAAGTTTTCAGGTCAACACTCGCCCAGGATCCAGCTAAACGAACGACCAATTTCAATGAACTCTTAGAACTCTTATCGCCGCATAGGTCAGTATAATTTCTGTATTTGAAATAAGGTACTAACGAGAGATTAGGGTCTTACATTCAACATTTCCGGCTAACAATGTTACGGATATAGTGTGCTTTAGAGGATTCTTGCTGTTCAGGCAGGGGTCCACGCTCTTTTGGTCCAGTGGGAGCGATAAGGCACGCTTTTCCGTGACAAATGGTAGCAACACCGGTTCGATTCCGGGTGTGACCCGGACAGTCTGAATAGGTTACTTGGCCCGCATAGTGTATTGGCAGCACGCCAGGCTCATAACCTGGAGGAGGAGTGTTCGAATCCCCTGCGGAGCACCAGGCCACAAGTAGCTTACGGGGTTACACCCGGGGGGGTTCCTATATACGATACCTATGCGTGTAGGCCAGCGCATGGGGACATGCGCCATTTTTCGAAGTGTGCAATTGTTACGGATATAGTGTGCTTTAGAGGATTCTTGCTGTTCAGGCAGGGGTCCACGCTCTTTTGGTCCAGTGGGAGCGATAAGGCACGCTTTTCCGTGACAAACAAAATATCTATACCTTATAAGAATTTTCAGATAAGTTTAACTTGCGGTGTCAAATCATATAATCACACTCTGTATACTGGAGTAATAGTATTTAGATTACTCTATCATTACACCAGCTTATTCAAGCTCAATATGGCGTGCGCTGTTATATCGCAAACTACTTAGAGAAAAAGAGGCATCGATCTTCGACTAGTCAGTGTCATAACTTGAACCTTACTTTCTGCTATAAGCTTAAATTTGATATTCGACGAGATATCGAATATTCCCGGACCTTACTCATTATACGCAATATACCAATGAAAGATCTTGAAGGCAAGATTGAGCAAGCTAAGAAAATTACGCAATTACCGAACTTTCAAAACAACACCTTCCGCAGATTCTTAGAACAAGGCCATTTTAACAACTTTAATCTTAGCCAACAATACCGCGAAGAACAGCGTGCTTATAAAGCTAAGTCACGATATCAAGAAGAAATAGAAGCAATAAGATCTATACTTAAGGAGGATCATCTTCTAGTTCAAGAATTACGGAGACAATTGTCTTTGCTCATGAGTAGTCAAGGAAGGTGGAAAGATGCGGAAAGGCTGCAAGCTCAACTAATAGAACTTGATGAAAAAGAAACGAATGAAGATCAGTATAGAATACGCTTTACCTCGTTCTTGGTAATAACATATGCGAGCCAAGGACGGTGGGAGAAGACTAAAGAGTTGCAAGTGCAAGTTCTAGAGACGAGAAAAAGACTACTCGAGACGGAACATCCAAACACGTTAACCAGCAAGAATGATCTAGCATTGATCCATTGGAATCGGGGACGATGGAAAGAAGCCGAAGAGTTGGAAGTACAAGTCATGGAAACGAGAAAGAAGGTATTTGGGGCGGACCATCCAAGTACGTTGATCAACATAACCAACCTGACAGCAACATATAGAAAACAAAGACTTTGGGAAAAGGCCGAAAAGTTAGATATACAGATCAAAAAACGAGAAAGAAGGTACTCGGGTCAGAACATCCAGACACGTTGAACAGTATAAGAAATCTAGCATCGACATATTGGAATCAAGGACGATTAAAAGAAGCCGAAGAGCTGGAAGTGCAAGTCATGGAGACGACAAAGAGGGTACTTAGGGCGGAACATCCAGAAACGCTAACAAGCATACATAATTTAGCAACGACATACTGGTATCAAGGACGGAGGAAAGAGGCCGAAGAAATGCAAGTGCAAGTTACGGAGGCGAAAAAGAGGGTACTCGGATTAGAGCATCCAAGTACGTTGGCTAGTATAAATAATCTGGCGATGATCTACTGGGATCAAGAGCGGTGAGAGGAGGCCGAAGAGTTGCAAGTGCAAGTTATGGAGACAGAAAAAAGGGTACTCGGAACGGAGCATCCAGACACGTTAACAACAATGGCTAATCTGATATTGACATATTTGAATCAAGGGCGGCTGAATGAGGCCGAAGAACTGCAAGTGTATGTCATGAAGACGAGCGAGAAAGTACTCGGAGCGGAACATCCAGATACTTTGATCAGTATGAGCAACCTGGCAATATTATATAAGGACCTAGGGCGGTGGCAAGAAGCTGAAGATTTGGAGATGGAGGCCACGGAGATAGAAAGTCGACTTGATCAGATGACAGTCCCAACTGACGAGGGTTCAATGACCGAACCAAGTTATCCAATAGAGGATGCAACACAAGGTCCCTTTTCCTTCGGGTCCAGCGGTTTCCATATTAACTATACCTGTCGCGAGAGTGTAACACGTCTCAAAAAACTTTGCTTTCCGGAGTTGCTGAAGAGTGAGAAAGCCAGAAAGTCAGCCCAAAATGATGCTAGTATGATTGATAGACCCTGGATCAGGGCTCAGTTGCAGCATTATGGAATCGACTTTAGTCCCGATATTGACCCTTTCAAGGCGAAAGCTTTACTGCTTACAAGTGTCGCTCAGGGGCTAGTAAGCAAATCTACATTGATTAGTTCTATCTCCAGCAGCTCCGTTAACACGTCCGTAGTGCGATACGATCCCACCTCAGGTTCTCAAGATCAAGGCCACGCTCAAGGAAGCGTACCAGGGCGAAATGGACGCTTACCGTGACAATATGAAAGCCTATCGTGCTCAAGAGCTGCCAAAGCGAATTCAAAAATTCGAGGCTTGCACAACTCCGACAGAAGAGGCGGGCTGTGATGCGTCGCTCTTTCTTCGGAAATACTTCCTCGACGAGAAGGGCAATTCAGACCGGACCAAGACACCGGAGTTGGTTCTGCTGCCTGGATATATCGATAAAGGTATGGCCTTGACTGGGAGAACAGAGCGAATACCTGCTCTACACGTGGCATATGGAGGACTGGGAGGTGCAGATAACGTAACGGTCGTTGGTTGGAACCGAGCAAGAGTCAACGATAAGGCACACCAAATCGATTTGCGGCAACCTTCCGGACGTGGAATTCTACGCTCGGACCAAAATTGGGATCGACAGATGATGAGCCACCATGAATATGTGGAGAAACTTCGTAGTCGATCGGACAATCTTGACCCTAAATCAGGCAGCTCGTTTGAGACACATCATATCACCGGAAAATATGTCGTGAACTGCGAGGCCATCCAGCATGACTGTTCGGTTCTTTCAAAGCAACTTCGTCTACGATTCTACCGGAGCGGAAGACTAGCAATCTTCGACCTTGGTATTGTAGTCGGCTTGATGGTGCTTGGTAAAACGCAACAAGATGTCACGAAGCTTTTAGAAGACGGAAGTTGGGATACTGATCCCTGTGATGAGGAGGACAGCGACGACGAGAATGAAAGAGAAGACGTCAGCAGTGATGAAGAAAAGAGCGATGCCGAGCGAGCAAGCGGATGTAGCGAGGATTCGGATCACAATTCGGGGGACGAGTCAGACACTCCTATCCACTTGACCATACACCAGCCACCAAAGCGCCAGGAGATCGAGAGTAGCCATCCTCGTAGGGTGTACTTTCAATGGCGTGGGTACAACACCGTGTCAGGCGCCATTCAGTTCGATCCTCAGAATCGCAACACAGGGTACCTAGATTTTGTAAACGATGACGCGACAAGTTTTGAAGGAAACATTCTTATGGAAGCCACCATGAGAAGCGCAATATCGTTTCAAGGTTACCGAGTACCTGGCCTTACTGGGCCATTGACGATGAATTGGAATGCCTTCTCACATCTTGCCTCCGAGAGGGCCAAGGTCCCGGAACATATGTGGTAATACGGAGGAATGGCAGACAGGTCAGCGTATCTGGATGCTCCTCGCCTAAAAGAGTCTTTTTCTGGACCCATGTCCGTTGGTTCACGCTTGCTGCTTTATGATACAGCCCACATTCAGAAAAATACACCGCACACCATGTACTCGCATCCAAGAGCTCAGTATTCTCGAGCCCATACCGTTCTGCGAAGCCCTCCAGGAATTCAATATGGCTGATGAATTGACCACATCGACTCCAGTTGTGTGGAGATCTGCGATCTCCGACTCCTTCAAAGGCCTTACATATAATACGTATAACTGTCTCGAGCATCTTAATCGACTGGATGTCTGTAAAGCAGAGGGTACCACGGTGACCCAACCGCAAGCGTCGGCCCCAAATCAGCAAACCACGTTAACTTTCGGCCAGCCTTCAAGCTCAGCACCGGCTTTTGGTCAACCTTCTGCACCATCAGCATTCAGCAGACCTTCAGTGCCTTCATTTGGCCAACCGTCTGCACCTACTTCGACATTTGGCCAGCCTTCGGCTCGGAGCCCTCTCGGAGCCCCACAACAACAACCCAACGCCTTGGAAAAACCATCGGGACCTGGTTTCCTCCAGCAGCCATCAGCAGCAGCAAAAAATCCCTTCGGTCAGCCATTGGCTCCCGCACAAACCCCCACATTTGGACAACCATCAGCTCTGTCACAACAGAGCGCGTTTGGAAGACCCTCGACACTGAATCCCTCGCCTGCCTTTGGCCAGCCGGCGACATCTGGAGCTATTACCGGATTCTCACAGACCTCAATTGCACCTCCGAATCCGTTTGGTCAGCCTACTGCGCCTTTGGCCACGGGTGCCTTCGGGCAGCCATCAACTGCAGCGCCGAACCCTTTTGGCCAGAGAAGGACCTCCACGACTAATCAATCTGTTGCCTCGTTTAGCCAATCTTCTGGCCCTTCTAACACAATACTGGTCCAGCAGTAAACCGGGCAAATGTCAGATCCACAAGTGGACAAGGAACGAATGGTGTCCAAGTCCAGAAGGATTCCCAGGACAAGATAACGAGTTGGAAAGGCATGCCTGTAAGATACTTCGATGACGAGCTGTGCTACAAGGGCGATGATGGTAGCTGGCAGGGAGTATAGTTTCCGGATAGGCCGCCAGTCTTCACGAAGACTGTGGACCTGTCTGATGAAGCGCATGATGAGGCAACGAAAGCAAACTACGAACATCTGAAAGAGACTGGGACTTTGAAGGATGGAATCATGCCAGCTCTTCCGCCAAAGAGAGAGTGGTGCAGTTGCAATTTTTAGGCCTCAATAATTGCCTTGGTTTTTTCGCATTTAGATACCATTGAGCGGACCACAGATGACAGAAATTTACTCAAACACTTGACAAAGAGGCACTGAATGGGGCATGATTGCATGAGCTTACTGTCAATCAACTTTGCAAAAACCGCTTTAGTGCTGCGATTGCGGCTAATCTGGGACTATCAATGCCCATTTCATCTGGACAAATCCATTTGCACGCCTCAACGGCCTAGAACAGATCAATTCCCATCATCTCGTCCGTTTCCTAAGCAGCGATTGTAACCTCCACCTCCACGCCAGACTCGATGTTAACAATGATCTGCTTCACAACCTCCGTAGGTGCGTTGAGACTAGATTCAGCACAGCTGCCGATTCTAACGGCGTCCATCCACCAGCGTTGGCCACGGAGATGTCTGCCCCTTTGTCCAGCAACAGCTTTGCCACTTCAATATGACCCTTCATAGCAGCCAGGTATAGAGGCATACGTCCGGCCTCGTCACCGATTGACAAACTTGCTCCTGCATTTACAAGAACCAGTATTACTTGCCTATTTCCCGAATCGGCTGCAGCATTGACTGCGCAGCCGTGAAGACCACAGTGAGAATCAATATCAGCGCTGTGATCAATCAGAAAGCTGATAGCTGACAAGTGTCCCGCGGCACTTGCTGCCTGTAAAGCAGTCCCATGTTGGCCACCAACCGAATTCCAATCCTCTACCTTTTGGTCTTGTAGGAATTTCAGGGTATCAACAAGACCAAATAGAGCGGCATAGTATATTAAGCCCCCATGATTGTCCTGTGACGATTCAGGTCGTTGAGATACCTTATTTAGGAGTGTCTCATAGCGATTTCGCCAGTTGACCCAATGAGAGCCATGCGGAGTGAAGAGCTTATTGACAAGGCAAATTAAGTCTTTGTAGTCTGAACCTGATGAGTTAATGTGTAGGGCCCAAGATCTAACTGCATAATCCAGAAATGGATGTTGATTCGGATATTCACGAGAAATTTCCAAAGGAGTCCATGATGAACCGTAATCAAGATAGCGAAGACAGACCTTCGCAAGAATATTATTTTCGCAATTCTGGCTAGATAGTGAGATCTTCATAGATGTCCTGGAAAGGATAAATTCTCTGACCGAGGGGTGGACTAGTCCAACAGTTTTGTCTTTGAGGTGTTTTTCAGGGCCTGCATCTCGAATCTCCACAAGTGATCCACAAAGATCCAGAATCTCGTCATTGATATACTCATCGTCGATAACGTCTGGTATTTCGTCGATCTGCAAGCTGTCGCAATCATCTTCGTCCCTTACGGCAAGAGCTTCCGTCATCTCCAGGACCGTCAGAGGCCTCGCTGCAAATACTGTCCACCGAAGTATAGCCAGCGCACGATACATGTCACGGTCTGGTAGCTTCGATATCCTTTCCCAGTCCCGTTTGTAAGCGTCCGTCAGTCCTATAGGCATATCGTTGACAATTTTCTGCAACTGCACTCCGTTTTTGCTATTACGTAGAGATCTCTCTTGCAACTTGACCCACAGAAACATTCCTTCGGATTTCTGCGCCATTTGTGTTGCAAGGTCTTGTCGCAGGACCTCTGGCTTCTTCCACAATTTCTCATCGGCAACACGCTTAGAAAACAACGTGACATCGGACTGCACATCCGTCTTTGATATTCCGCACTCGTAAGTGGTCAGCTTCAAAGACATAGCATCGAGACATATCCCAGAGCGTATGTCCCCTTCATCCCGACTCACGATAAGAAGGCGGCTCGTAGTTGGGGAAATCGATCTTTTGAGTTTTACGAGAAATGCTCTGCGACTGCAATCATCACCACTATTCTGATTGTTGTCTGATCGTAGGCATTCATCAAGACCATCTACAATGTAGGTAAAACCACGACCGCAGTGGACAATAGAATTGAACAAGTCCCAGATATTATTCGTAGAAGCTAAGGATCCTCCTTTAGCGCGCATTTGCTGTTGAGCCATTTCAAATGCATCCTGGCTACTGGACACCAGTTGTGAAACCCAGGATCGGATCATTGAGAGCGGATTTTGATGGAGTTCGGCATCACGCGAGCAGAAGAAGTACGCCAGTGGGTACCCATATGTGCTTTGAAGTTGTTGAACGACCCTCGCACAGAGTACGGATTTTCCATACCCTGCGGGCCCATGCACCCACAAGACCTTCGCCGCATCCAATGGGAAGTCGGACGATGCCCAGCTCACATATTCAGGCTTAGAGAAGATCCATTCGCAGGTGCTTTCCAAACGTGCAGAGAGATGTTTTTCATACGTGTCTGTGGTATTGACAGCATCAAGCCAAAGATAGAGTTCCTTCTTCGTCTCCACTAAATCAATTAAGCAAAGAATGAAACGTGTAGTTGCGCGCGTCTTACCTTTAAGCCGATCAAGCAACTCTTGGACGCCGCGTTGACTTTCGCTGAACCAGGTCGATTTCTCTTTCGAAAAACCTGTCTCGAATTAGTGCTATTTTCTTCCAGCGGAATGATATCGTACAACTTTCCAACCAAGACCCCAAATACCTCGATTTGTGTTGTGAATCTAGCCTTGCCACCAAGACTCCATTTGAGCTTGCTCGTTTTTGATACCAAAAACCGGGATTTCTTCTCTTCTATGGAATGGTCATTCGTATAATTATCTAGATTAGCTAGAAAAGTAGATTTGCTATCAAGCGACAGGCCTTGCAGGTTTGAAGAAAAGCTACTTGTCGCAGAAAATATTTCATGGATGCTAGAAAGTGTTCTCGCAATTGCAGTGACTACCTCGTCACGGTCGAGGTCACGGTGATGCACGTCTTGCAACCTTCCGTTGGTAATTCCAACGGCTTCTACCCACTTATGTAATAGAAGTTTGTCATCAGCGAACCGAGTGGTGATGTATCGGGATTCGAATTCGAATTTCCTATAGGTATCGACTCGATCAACTGCATCTATGCAGGCACTTAGGAGGCCGGCTAGTCCCGCAACGCCAACAGTGAGTCCTGCGATTTCCATGGCAACCAGAACTGTCAAAGAGCGTATAGAGTATTGGAGACACGGTGGACAATCGCAAGCCCGAGAAGTGTATGATGGGTTTCCCAGAGGTGCACAGGTTTCCTTTAAGGCGGAGATACTACAGCGGGGTAACAGGATGAGGCTACATGTAACGTGGCGGTGCAGCTGTGTGCAGATTTCTATAGGGCGCCTTGGGTGCGCCAAGTGCTTTACAGCCTTGTTCTCGCCTCTTCTTTTCCACGTCTTTTTGTGCCTGATGTTTGTAATGACTATGAATGGCTCGGTGATCAGGTACCTTGCCTGGTCATCGCCTCACAAGTGGAGTCGGTCACGCGTAACTCACAAAAGATAATGATTTTCTCAATTTAAGAGCTCGTGAAGCCATTTGAAGCTGAAAGATTTCGAATCGAAACGAGGTCAGGTGCGATTTTCCCAGTATGCTCGCAGCCTACGAGGCTGACTTTCAAGTTGCCGTAGCTCTAGAAATATGCGTGCTGGGGGCGCAGGCTATCCAGTAGTGGAAAGCTCGCCTCTCCCTGGGGCTTCTACGACTGCCGGAGGGGCCGTCCTCGCAGGCTCGATTCCTAGCCAATTCCAGGCCAATTCTCTTCCTAGTGGTATCATTAAAAAGCGCGTAGTTGGTTCTATTATCTTGGAGTCTCACTTAGTTATCATATAAAGTTTTATATCTAAGGAATAAGATTAAAGAAATTCTAGAGTTTTGAAGTTCTAGACTCAGCCCTATGCTGCCGCTTTTAGAATACTGGTTCGCGAGGCTGAAGTAAAAGCTCACTTCTCCATTTGTGGTCCTCCGGCTCTAAAGCCCAGTTCTTGTCACAGTGACACCACGCCCCTCTACGAAGACCGCATTAGTCCAACAAATGCCTAGGACCCACATGAAGCTTTGGTGACATGAGTTCTGGGAGAAAGAACTTTTTGCTCGACATTTTGTGGTCAAGTTGCACCGGAAAGGGCGGTAAATGAGGATATACACGTCTTCATCACATCTTGTGCAAGAAGTTGGCACCGGCGACAGTGCAGTCTCCACAGCGCGCAAACCAGGGATCCCCTCCTTCGAACACACTACCCTAGAGAACTTTCACTCCATCAAGCTTGACATCACAGACCTCAGCGATATCCAATCAGCCTTCACAACCGCACTTGATAAGTCCGGCCGTGTCGATGAGGTGGTCAACAATGCAGGGTACGGTGGACCTTTTGAAGGGCTATCAGATAGCTAGATCAGGAGACAAATGGAAGTCAATTTCTTCGGCTCGATCAATACTACGCGGGTGGCTGTAGAGGCCACGCCCAGCGCCATCTCGAGTAAGACCACATGAGCGCCGAAGAAGCAATAGCGAAGCGGCGGTTATGAAGGAGCAGCCGTTGAAGGTGATTGTGAGGGCAGATGCGTGGAAGGCCATTATGGCGAATATATAGGCGTACAACATATAGGGAACGTTACAGGAGGTTTGAGCGCTGAGTAATAATATTGAGGTTGAGGGGTGTAAGGCTCTTTGAGATGGCTGGGTTCTATATGTTTGGGTGACTATACTGAGGTGCTGCGGGCATTCTACATAAGCATTGTATGTACATAGCGAAATAGAGTAGATCTATCCTGCGTTCTCCTGATCCTTAAGTCTGTAATGTTGTACACACGCTCTTTTGCTCAAATAGAATTCCGGAAGCAGCACCCTTTGCACAAATACATTTCGAAAAAAGAACGCCCCAACCTAGCACTTTTCTCCTCCACACCAACTCCGCAGCTAATTTATCTTCACGGATCAAACCTCTTTAACCCTGTTTCCCAACGATATTCAACCAAACGAAGCCACCCCCGCATCTCCCCAATTGTCCAAACCTCTATATTCCCTTCGCTGAGAAGACATAGACGATACCGTAGGGAGCCAAAGCCTCAATTTTCCCCGTGCGCGCGATGAGGTCCAACATAGCTGTCCATATCTTCGCATCACTGTGAGGAGCATTACCGTTCTTCAAAGCGAGCACAAGCGCTAGAAGTGGCGCGACATGTTTGGCTTCTTCTTGGCCTGCGGAGAGGCGAGCGTAAAAGGACGCAATGTCATCGCTGAGGAGCCCATTCCCAATCCGTGAGTGAATGGTTCAAGCAGCTGGCAAAGCCTGAAGTGCCATGATAAAATCAAGTAGAACATCTTTCTCTCCTGTCTCCGATTAGCTTCGATTTTGAGGTACCTTGATTTGAACGTCGTACAAAAAGCCCCGAGCCCCTTTCCTGTAGGATGAGCTCTGATGGCTTTCGGTTCATTCCGGGAGAGCCCAGCGAAATCTTCGCAAAGCGCCGCTGCAGTGAAAACGACAACGTTGCGACGCGATGATTCGAAGGGTACTTGCTGAACCAATCTCGGTTGCGTTAAAAATAAATTCAATGTAGGGCCGGTAGCTGAGCCTCGGGGCTATCTCTCATCGTGAACTTATTAGTCGCTTCGCTTCTACTCTTTCTTAAGGGCCGTTCCCAGCGCGTTAGGTGCTCGCTCCGGGGGGCCGGTCTTTGGTTGTCACTGCTGGTAAGCAGAAGAAGGCTTTAAGGAACGGATTAATGAACCAATCCCGAAACAGGATGCTTTGTGCTCCAAGATCTCCGTCATCGGATTTCGCTAAGGTCAATGGATCGTGCGGGTATCGCTGCCGTTCCATGTCCTCCTCTCTTGCAAATTCTGGATGGTGCTCACGTCTCCGTTGCTGAGAATCAAGAAAATCCTGCCACCGATGGGGAGGATTTACATGACAGCACAGCACACAATCATCTACCTAGGTCCTCTCACCACTGCGTCAGAGGCTCTTCTGGATCTTTTCTCCTCATGGTCCTATAGGGATAAGAATGTAGACACCCTTGTGGCGGAGAACGGGGCTGCAGATCTTTTAGTGCGGCCTTGGTTCAATCGTGTCTGGGTTTTTCAAGAGTTGGTTCTATCACGAGATCCGTGGATTCAATGTGGTACGCTTCGAGTACGATGGGATCGGATATACGACTGCCTGGAACCGCGATTCAAGAGTTCGCGTATCGAGGCTGCATCAGCCTGGATGCGCTTTATCTCATCTTCGAGCGTAGACGGAACGTAGGTGCCATTATCGAAATACACTGTCTCCAACATGTTGATACCATTTGCAAATGAGACGTTAAGATATGTAGACCTAAACTCAAGGACTAGAACGCGGGGTAGCTGCACTTGCGGCGATGTACTTCTAGATGGTTGCGTGCGTTAGCCGGACGATCGTGGAGCAATGGTGGGCCTTAGGGCTATTTAGGGATGCTTTTAAACGTCAGCCAACGCTAGTGTACAGTACCGGAGAGACGTAAACGCCGATCGCAGCCACAGCCCCCTGATTAGTAAGAGATTCCAGTAGTAAACAAGGGGCGCGTTCTGCCGTTCCTCTTCCTTCCTCTCTATACCTCGCCGTCGTCCACTCTCTCTTCTCCATCGCCCAAATATCTCGTATAGCCTCATTTATCGCCTCCCAGAGCACACTATGTCTTACCCACGCTTCTTACGTAACCCCCCACAGTATGGGACCTTCGAGGACACTCAGGAGGAGCGCGATTGTTACGGCAGCAACCCCGAGGGCATTGATCGAGACCGCACTCCAGAGGCGATGTATTCAGACGAGATTGTACCCCTCGTTCCGGAAGAAGAAGACAGTGGCAGCGAGGGTGAATGGAGCAGACCCACCTATTCTGACGCGTCTAGATCACCGTCGCCCCTTCCGGAGGGGTCTACCTCCCTTCCTCCCTCCCTTCACCCCCCGGTCAAACGCAAGGCCTCCGCCCCTCTGGACAAAGAGCGTCGAAAGGGTACCAAACGCAGTAAACCCACCCCATTGGTGGAACCGGAGCTAGCGTCAACAATGCTGAAATTGCCTCCCCACATCCCAGAGACTCGTGAGACTGTTTTTTTGTTGAGTAAGCCTATCCGGTGGACAGTCGAGGATTTTGACGCCTACTGGCCTTTGGTAGACAATTTCTGGGTGTGCAACAAGCCCAATAACGCGATTACCGGCAAAGGCACTCAGTCTTCCTATTGGTGGTGTCGTCTACACAAGGGAGAGACTGTCAGCGAGACCCATGGCCAACGGAATAAGCAACTTCGACGCGTCCCTCCCTGTGGTATGAAGCTGAAAATGGTCAAATCCTACAGCCAATCGGACCATGGTATCTTGCTGTCCGTTGAGATCTCTCTTCATTTGGACAAGAAACATCCCTGCTGGCAACATAATCATGAGCGAGACTTTGTTGATCAATGCAAAATCAACTCATTCGTCATGGACGCCGCTGGTCGAGCGGTCGCTACAGGCTGGGAAGTCGCCTCCATTTTCAGCAACTTAAGAGGCGTCAAATGGGCCAACAATCTCACTGCTTTGGAGGCCGCTGGTGGCAAACACCTCAAGCTTCTAGACGTTCATAACGCCGGAGCCGAATGGAAGAAGGTCAATCCTGACGGGCGGATTCAGGGAGCCAAGGCGCCGTGGGAGCAGCAGTGGGCTGATTGTCTGACGGATCTGGAGTCGAAGGAGGATGTGAGGTGTGCAAACATCACGGCCAAGAGGGATATCGATGACAAAATGACCTATGGTACTGTGTTCGCAAAGAAATGTGAGTCTTTGAATGATGTTTTGCGAATATCCTGCTGATCGGTTAAAGCTCGGTTGAATTTCCTTCGCCGACGAGGCCATCTCTCCCTCATGGACGCTACACATAACACCAACACTCTGAAATAGAAGCTATTCACGATTATGGCTCGCAGCGAGCATGGGAGATGGATCCCCTGCGCTCATATGCTTTCAGCTACTGAGGACGGCAACATTATGAGCGAATTTCTTCGAAAAGTCAAGCAATGGTGCGGGGGAAGAGGGGCCTGGCGCCTTCGCTACATGATAACAGACGACTCTGCAGCCGAACAAAAAGCCGTCCGACTGGCATTCCGAGGTCTTGAGGAAGGTGAACAGCAAGTGGATCACTTCCTCTGTCGAAAGCATAGCGAGCGAACTCTCAAAGAAAAGCTGGGGGCTGACAGTTGCAAGAAATCCTTCGAGCACCTCTACAAAGCTCTCTACTATCGATTTTCGGAGCAGGGCTGTAAGGATGAGGTACATGCGGCCATTAATGCGGCTCCGGATCACAAAAAGGAGTACATTCGCAAGTGGTGGTTGGATACCAGAAAGCTTTGGGCGTACTACGCCCGTCAGCATTCTTGCTTGCTGTTGCAAGTAACAACAACGAATCCAGTTGAGTCTTGGCATCATTTGCTCAAGATCCATGCTCAGGGCAAAGGCGCCATGTTAAGATTTAGCCTGTCCGGAGTTGCCACGCATACTCTGGAAGATCGCTGACCAATGGGAGCTCCGTGAGGAAGAGACAGCTACCAAGTTTCGAACCTATCAATCCGCTGAGTGTCAATTGTACCCCGAATTGGCAAAGTTTCCTGGTCCGGTGCAGCAACTCATTGTGGGGCAATTGAAGAAGGCAATGGAAGCTCAGGACGAAGGTATTTATCAACTTATTTACGCGTGCACTCACTAACTATATCAGGCGAAATCCCACGGGATCTGAATGACGAACTCTCGTGTACCTGCGTGTTTTATCGGCAATATCAATTGCCGTGTTCTCACCTGTGGCAATTCAACCTCATGAGCAATGCCTTCGCAGAGGCTGATTGGAAGAGGTGGGCGTACATGTTTGAAGAGGGAGGCTTTGAGATCTACGAGAGTACCACCAAGGAATACGTCATCAAGGATATCTACGATGAACCCGACGGTCCCAGCAAGCACATGCTGGACGTCCGCGAGGTACTCGATGAGATTAAGACGAAGTTCTACGAATTGAAAGCGGGTACTGTGGGGTGGGAGGACAATGTGAGGGAGCGGATTTCCGCTCAGTGGGTCACTATGCTACGTTAAATGACGGGCCCTATACGTCAACGAGGTGCCGAGGAGGCTCTACAGGAGCTCGCCGATGACGGCCATAACATAGCCCGGCTAGAAGCCCCACCGGGGTGGAGTCGCCTAGACGATGAGGAGGAAGCGGAGGGCTAGACTAGATTACATAGTGACAACACCACCAATAAAGACCTCTTCTCCATGGGAATCCCCGGAGCCGGCGGCGGCGAGCCTTATTCCCGCCCTGTGCGCCTCGGGAAGGCGGGGAGCCTCCATTGTACGAATAGCCTCACCGGGCGGCGACAGCGACAGCGAGGTTAAGTTCCGCTGGGTGGCCGCCATACGCGATTTACAGTGTGGCGGCCACCCAGCGGGGCTCAGCCACGCTAATGGTAATATATTACGGATTGGCTGAGGTATAAAAGCATCCCGATATGCTACCCAACCTTCCTGCTGTATTTAGTAGAGGGCAACGACAGGTACCATGACACCTCAGCACGAGCATGGAGGGTTTGATTGGTTCCTCTAGCGCTTATTATATCGAAGGATTTCACCCTTAAGTTAGTCTAAATTCGTGTAAATAGCTAGAGTTTGATATGCGATTACACTTTACTAAATATCTAAATTAAAGATTATTATATTATCTTTCAGGCTTGACTGTAAACACCTTATACTTACATATTATAAGTTAGAGAATATTGCTTATTTTAGAATCGCTCTCTAGTGCAGAAGATGATTGGCTGAGATGTTACTTATACGCCGATTACTTTATTAATAACTTTATTTTTCACTACTTTACTACTTTATCGATTCTCATTTTTATATCTCTAAGTATTATAACGTTCTTTTTCTCCTTTATTATAAAGATTCTAATAAAAGATCTATATAAGTCGAAAGTTATTACGACGATCGCGAGAATTAAATAAGAAAGATAGATTTTCTTATTACTAGATAGTCGTACTGATGTTCTTTTTCTTCTTAGGTTCTTTGAAATAGAGGATAGGCCGAACGTGACTACAGAGATATAGGAGAAATTTCGATAAGAAGTATAATTTGAGAGATATAAATCTCTTAGATCTAAGATTATAAAACTAACACTCCGTTTTACTTTCAGAGATATAATTTATAATATATATTACACTTAGTCTATAAATTTAGAAGACCTATAAACGATTATACTAACGCTTCGAGAAAATTTAGAAACTATCCTTCTAGATTAAGCGAAACTTTAATTAAAGACTTTAAGAAAGAGTTGGAGCGATATAAACTCGAAGTTAATCGAGTCTACGATGTCTTGATATAGATGGGTGAGAGATCGACTCGTTCGATTCGATCAACATCGCTCTAAACGATAATTCGTGTCAAGGAAATGGATGACTGGGTCATAAATTCATGGTGGTGTAAAAGATGTTGATTATTCTATGTGCCTGCAGGGCACATATGTGCGGTGCCAAGCCACGCTAGGCCCAAATGGGTGGTGGCTCTGGAGGAGGCCTTGGCGTACCGTGACAACATGCCCGCAAAGAAAGAAAAAAAAGACACGTCCTCGTGGCCTATGCTATTGACCAATCAGAATACACCGTTGCTACTGGCCATGATGCTTCTGATTCGCCTTCTCATCGTAGTAATTTGGCTGTGATCGTCGCAGTAGATCCTTCTCTTGTTTGCTTATTGCAGTGATGTACCACACTAATGTAATATTGCCTAGGCATGCAGAGATAGCAGGCCAAATTGTAGTGTCGTTCTCCGCTTGCTGAGTGGCGATCTGACGTGGGATCGTGGAGAGTATATGACCTGGGATCTTGGAGAGCTGAGCCGTGTTCTTGATGGTGGTGGCCTTGTTGCCGCTTGGTTTCTCCGCAGTATTCTCCGCTTTTGCCTGCTGTAGTGATTTCTCTTGCACTGGCTGAGTGGATTGGTGTGAGACCGTGGAGAGTAGGCCTGTTGTGTCACTGCTGCTGCCCGTGCTCTTGTTCTTCTCCACATTTGCCTGTTGCAGATCGAAGTATCCTATCTCCTCCGCTCGTAAGTGGCCTGGATTTGTATGGTAGGACGAGTCGTTCGTGTGAGAGAGGTTCTGCTGTGGTATTTTAATGCTGGGAAGAGTGGGATTGAGAGGCGAAGTAGGATTGGGAGATGAAGTAGGATTTTGGTATAGTGCGGGGCCCAAAAACTGTTCGATTCTCTCTAATCTCTGCTCAAATCTCTGCTCAAATCTCTGCATTTCTTGACGCATCATACCACCAAATGCAGTCATTATGTCATTGATCGTAGCTTGTGAGAGGCCGGGGACCATTTGGCTGTTGGAAGACATGATGTGATGTCAAATGGCCTATTGAAAGGATTGACGTGATTGGCTGGTTTTTGCGTAGCGGAAGCGCAAGGGGGGCTGACTGTCGGTATATCGTGACTGCGGGTTGAGTGACGGTATAGACGACTTGGAAGAGGACCTAGGTTAGGTGTGGCTACCAATTGTCAAGGAAATGGATGACTGGGTCATGAATTCATGGTGGTGTAAAAGATGTTGATTATTCTATGTGCCTGCAGGGCACATATGTGCGGTGCCAAGCCACGCTAGGCCCAAATGGGTGGTGGCTCTGGAGGAGGCCTTGGCGTACCGTGACAATTCGTGTCGGTAGAGAGCTTTAATATCGATATGTTAAATAATACGAGGAGCTTTTTTACGATAGCTGATATGACTATAAATTAGATCTTAATAATTCTTTAACGAAGGCCGATTTTATTTAAAAGTATTAGGGATAAGAAAGATATCGATATAATAAAGAACTACGATGGTGATAGAATTTTCTCGATACTTAGCAATAGAGATATAAGTATTATCTAGAATTTATAAGAGAGAAGAATATAGAATAATAGCGATACCCGTACGATCTATAGCTTATAGCAAGTCTAAAAAAATTAAAGAACTAAAAAGAGTATTAGATCTATTTTTAAAGGAGAATCGATCGATTAAAGAGAGAAATAGAAGAGAATCGACGAGCGATAAATATAATATAGCGAAAAGATTCTAAAGTGAATTGAAGTACGAGACTAGGAAAATTTTATAGGTTATATTATAAAGGTTGACTAGATAGTATAGAAAGACGACGGGAAAAGCTCGCATCGAAAGAGAAACGGTTGAAATGGGTTAAGAAGCAGCTTTTAATGATTCTTTCGAAATGCGCTGTATTATTAATAGAATTATCGATATCTCGTTATTAGATAAAGAAGAGAAGCGAGTTAAAAGCGAAATAAGTTTATAATACTCTAATAAATATAGATAAAAGATTAACTCGTTCGATTCGATTAATATCTAATATTTATAATACTAAATATAAGAATAAATATATTTACGCTCTTTATTATTAAAAGAGTAAATATAATTAGTTCGAGAAAGAATTAAGAAAATAAAAGATATTTTTAGATTATCGATAGAAGAAGAAAATAAATAGAGAAATAAAGATATAGCTTAAAGAATAATAATCTATTAAGGATTCGACTTAAGTGAATCTTTAAAGGAAATATTAATTCTATTAATAATTAAAGATCGAAAACGCTAAATAGTAAGTAGAATTCTAATAGTAATAAGTAAAATACTTCTAGTAAAAGAAGAATAACTACGTATAATAGAACTCGTAAGATAATATATACTAAATATATTCCGAGGCTAAAGATATATAATCGCATATAGAGAATATACGAAAGTAAGTTAGATCTATAGAGATGTAGTTATAATAAGTAAAGTAATAACTTTTAACTCTTCTTACGAAGTACGTCGTCTTATTAATAGAAGTATTAATATTCGATTATCTCGAAGATTAAGTTATAAAATCGAAAAGATTATCGAGATTAGATTAACTTAAAGATCTTAGATCTAATCGATCTGGTAGATTTACTCTACGAAGTAATTAAAAATCGAATAAAAATAAAAAGCGTACTTTAGCAAAGTCTGCGCTTGATTTAATTTATTTATTAAAAGTATTAAAAGCCGTCGAAAGGAAAATATCTTATTCTTAACGATAGTTAAAGAGTCTCGCAGAGTATAACGATAGTTAAAACTAAGGCCTTAATATAATAATATTATTATCTTCGTCCGTTAATATTACTTCGCGTAGAAGCCATCGATTATCTATTAATTAAAAGAGATTCGATATATTAAAAACGAATTTAGCTGCCGATCTAAGAAGAAATATATAACTCGAATCTATCTAGATTATACTATATAGAAGCGATTAAATATCGAAATAAAAAGAGAGAATAAGTATATTAACTTCTAGTACGGCGTTAAGCTTAGTGATGATCTTGCAAATAGCTCCGTTCCCGCTATTTAAATCTAAAGATCGCGTTATAGACATCAAATTAGATAGGAGCTAGGGAATATCGCGTGGAATATTCAAGATACGAGAAAGAGATCTTTTACGGAAGAGGACTAAGATCTATACTTAAGAATGAAATTACTTCGAGACAATTTTGGTCTTCGATAAGTAGGGAGATATAGTGTCACGTTATACTATCATCTAGTCTCCTGGTTTAATCCCCGTTCCGAGCAAGTAGATAGACAGCAAAACAAAAGCCTACAGGCCTCCTCAACCCCACGACTCCAACCAACGCCCACATCCCTTCCCTCCTTTTCCCTCCTACCTCTCACCTGCCCTAAGCTTCCTCCTTGCTCTGCCTAGGGGATACTGTGTCGCGTACTAGAGACGGATCTCAATGGTAGATCCTTCTCTATATTGGGTTGGAGAATTTGGCACTATCGGCGCCTCAAACGGGCCAAGATGAATGCGGAAATCGAAAAGAAAAATCGAATACGCAGACGGGCTGTTGATAGAATAAAGCTTCATGCGTCCAACGAAGGTACTAGGCGAAGATACTAGTGAACCTAAGAGTTACTTAGAAAAGATAATATCTTTACTAGAAATATATAATTATTAAATCAGCCTTTCTATTTATCGTATTTAGAATCTCGAAGAATAGCTTCGCTTTGAAAGAGCTATCGAGTAAGGATTCGCATAAAGTTTTATCTCAGATAGATATACTTATTAGAGAATATTCTTCTAATAGAATTTTAAAGTAGCTATTTAAAGATTTAAAGATAAATATAAAGAATTAATAGTCAAGGGCGGAGTGAGTAATATATAGAATTATTTTATTACGTTCGTTAGAACTATATACTACTAACTATAAAGTATTCGCTTTAAGAATTAATTTTATAAAATAAAAAGATTTAGCGAATAGTAGTAGTATCTTAAATTTATTAGATAATCTTAATTTCTATAATTTTAAGAATATATAGACTTCTACGAATAAAAAATAGTAAACGATTATTAACCCTTATCTGCATATGCTAGTCTTTCTCGTTTATCTTCTCGCTACGTCTAGTATTTCGCCTTAAATTTTTATAGTAGTTTCTATATATTTTCTAACTCGCGTTCGAGTAGCTATATCTTCTTTTAGTATATCTTATATTTATAGCCTTTCCTTCTTTATCTCTTATTAACAATTTTTATAATCTTCTACGCCTCTTTATTTAATATTAAATCTTCTTAATTTTAATATCGCTCGATAAGTAATAAGGGGATAATGTTAATATAAGGAGGATAGACGGTCGCTATTATTTTATAATTATCTTTATAAATAGTTTACTTAACTCGATCTCGATATAGTCGAATACTAGAAGAGATCGGACGATTAATAAGAGAGGGGTAGATTTCGTAATGGGAGGACTCAAGCAACTGTGTATCTTTAGCTATTTCTTTAAATAGAAGCTTTAAAGATATATAATATTAATTTTAGACTCCACGCTCGTGGCCCTAATAGAAGTATTAGTTTCGCTAGTCTTTTCGTCGTTATTCTTTATTATAAGAGAGTTATCTAAAATATATTAATAGAAATCTCGAGTACTAATTAGAAATGCATTAGGGAGTATATCTTAACTATTATTAACTTTACTAAATCGACTTAAATTAATTATTTTCTTATATTACTAGAATCTTCGCGAAAAGAAAAATCGTCTAAAGATAGACTTAGATTGCGATCGAATTTATATAAAATCGAGATCGCTTAAGTTATTATTAATATTATCTATCTTATCGATTACAATTACATCTTTTTAAAGTTATTAAATACACTCGTAGAGACTAATATCTACGCACTGATTTATACGCCGAGCCTTCTTTAATCTATATATATCTTCTCCGCTTCTATTTAAATCTATACTATTTGCTATGCGCTTAAAGGAGCCTCGAATGTTAGTAGCGTCTATAGCTATTATAGACTTAACGTTCGTTAAGCTTATTAGGCTCCATATTTATATAGAGCTAGCCGAATCTATTATTAATCTTATAGCGTTTTCTCGAAGTAGAGATCGTTATAAAATTAGTAGTAATTTAGGATTTAGCGATATAATAGGCGATCGGAGAGAGTATAGAATAACGTTATCTGTATTATAGCTTTCTCCTTTATTTCTATTCTCTTTCCCCCTATAAAAGTAATGAGGCTCGATTATTTTAAGGCCGATTTTTAAGTTATATATCGAAGAGAGAAGGATAATAGAAAGTAAAGAAGGAGGATTAGAGATAAGATCTCTTATTTTCTCGCGGAGTATAAGATATCTAGATAGACGCTGTCTGTTAGTACTAAGATCTGCTAATAAAGTTTTAAGAGTTATATCTAGCTTCTAAGTCTACTATAGAAATTCGTAAAATATCGAGAGAGTAGTACTTCTCACCTTACTTAGAAGTTAAGTCATCGCTTCTAGAGTAAACGCTACTATTGCTATTAATATTCACACCCTTATCTTTATCTAGTTTTAAGCTCGATAATTATAACTCTTATATTCCTCCGATACCGTATATTAGTTCCTTAAAGGATAACAAGTTTTCGTCTTTCTCTCCACCGCCTTTACTACCGCTACCACTGAGATCGAGTTCGATTAAGAGAGTTAAAGTTATTATTAAAGGTCTATAAAAGTAAAGATAGCGAATATTATCTCCGGCGTATAATTTAATATCTTTAAGATCTAATATATACTTATAGAATAATAGATCGAGAGAATTCTTTAATAACGAGCTAGTCGAATTAAGGCCTTCGAGTTCACCCTATCCGCCCTAAGATTTAGAAATCGTAGAGATATATCCCTCTTCGTAGATTACGAGAATATTACTAATTAACGTTATCGACGATCTTCTACTAATTAAATCGACTTTAGCGAGGAATTAATAGAATTAAATAAAATCTAAGTTAATTAATATTATTATATCTTAAATATAGATAAAGAAGCTATATATAAAGAGTCTAAAGTTAGAAAATCTA